GCCGGCCCGTTACCCTCCCGCCTGCTCCGGCTTCTAAGCAGCCAGCGGCCACCGGCTCCGGCAGCGGCGCAGAGCGAGTCAGCGCGGCACGGCGCGGCGCGGCGAGCTCGACATTCCACGGGACCCGCGGAGCCGCGTCGGGATCGCCGCTGGGCTCTCGCCCTCGAGCCTTCCTCGGTCGCCGCCGCCTTCGTCTTGTCCCTCGTGGCCGCCCGCGGGCCGGCGTGATCCCTCTGGGGCTCTCCGTGCTCCCCGGGCCGCGCGCCATGGGCAGCCCCCGCTCCGCGCTGAGCTGCCTGTGAGTACCGCCGCCGCCCGCGTCCCCGCCCGGCCCGCGCCGTCGCGCCCTCTCCGCTTACCCCGCGCCCTTCTCTCTCCCGCCCGCTTTTGTCTCCCACAGGCTGTTGCACTTGCTGGTTCTCTGCCTGCAAGCCCAGGTAAGGCGCACTGCGCAGAGGCGGGGGCCGGGCGGGCGAACCGGGGACGCCGGTTGGCAAGATCGGGCAGGAGCATGAGGACTGACCTTGCGGCCAGCGCGGCAGGGCTGGAAGGAACCTTAGAATTCAGCCTTGAACTACCCCCGAGGAGGGGCTAAGGAACAGAGAGGCAGCGTCCTGCCTAAGTTCACACAGCTAGTGAGTGGCGAGGCAGGAACCCAACGTCTCAGAGTCCAGCTCTGTCTCCTACGCATCCCAGCCAGGTTAGGGTGGATGGGGAACTCTATAGACTGCCACAGGATGGAGGCAGCTGGAGTCAGGGGCTTTCGTTGTCAGAAGTTTCGGTGACTGCCCCCAGTATAGGAGGGACCCTCTCTGTGGCCCTCTAGGGAGACCTGTGGCGGGTTTGGCAGAAAGATCAGGTGCCTAGGCTCCTTGCGCTCACATTTGCTCCGTAAATTTGTCTTTATAAATGTCAGGGGTCGGGTAGCGCTGCCTTTCTGCTTAAGAGCGCCCTGCTCTTCTAGGAAGGCCTGAGGAGGGGGAGCCCTGTGCTGGACAGGGAGCTTGCTTCCCTGTCTCTAGCTGGCAGGGTGTCTGGGTTGTTTCCCAACAGGTGGGTCCAGATCCTTCCCCATCCCAGGCTCATTCGAGTTAGACTGGGTCCACCCAGCCTACCTTGGTGGGGGTTGGGGACTGATCTGGCATGTTGGGAGGATCTCCAGACCCTGCCTGCTGCCTGGGACATTGGAGGGTGGTACAGGGCAATGGGGGCCTCTTGGGCCCCTGGGCAGAGTAGCATTATAATGGCGTGTTGTGTATTTTTCAATTTCCTAAAGGTAACTGTTCAGTCCTCACCTAATTTTACACAGCATGTGAGGGAGCAGAGCCTGGTGACCGATCAGCTCAGCCGCCGCCTCATCCGGACCTATCAGCTCTACAGCCGCACCAGCGGGAAGCACGTGCAGGTCCTGGCCAACAAGCGCATCAATGCCATGGCAGAAGACGGGGACCCCTTTGGTAAGGCGAGCTGCAATGAGGCAGAGCAAAGTTAGCTTGTGGAACATAGCCCCTTCCCCTGGCTGGCCTGCTGTGACTGGACCCACTAGCCCCATCTGCTCTGGCCAGAGGGCCAAGGCTCCTCAGCTCAGAAGCGAAGGAGTTAAGGCAAAAAAGCATCTTGGGGATCAGCTGGAGCAGACAGGGCTAGGGAAGGGACCTTAGGGAGTACTTGGCCCGCAGGTGCCCCTTCCCTGCCCAGCAATGAATGAATCCAGGAATTTCCCTTTATACCTCCCTGTTTCACATACCCCTCCCCAGCTGCAGGTGAGGGCAGAAGGTTCAGGAGGAGGAGGCCCAGGTTTAAGGGAAGCTCTTGAAAGAGGATATGTCACCAGGGCCCACATAAGAAAAGTTGGGAAAGAAAAGGGAGAGAAATCACCCCAACTCTCCCAACTTGGGGGGATGCTGTGGAGCTTTAAGTACTTTGATCAGAAGGGTCAGTTACACATGGGGACTAAGCTTGGAAAGGGGCCCTCTCTGCTCCACTTACCCAGGAACCCGAGCGGGGCTCCCGACTCCCGTGGGGTGGTGAGTACAGGGAGCTACTGCAGGGCAGAGAGGCTGAGGACTGATTGATTTCTAAAACATTCAATATTCCTGCCTTGAAACAAGGCCAATTTCCAGAGTCCTGGACATACCAAGAGAAAAGCAAGCCCTCTGGGCAGTAGGTGTTGTTTTTAGAGAGTGATTATTGTGAGTTTAAAAACCTTTAAATAATGACCAAGTTAAACAAGCATGAAAGGAGAAGGGAAGACTCTATTAAAATGTAATAAAAAGGTGAGGCATTTTAAGAGCTAAGAAGAAAAATGAAGAATGATATAAAACAGAAAAAGAACGAGCCTTTTTTCAGATGTGGAGTTTGAAAGGAGTTGCAAGTCTGTAAATGTTAAAAAAGAGGTTCAAGATTGTTCTCTATGAATCTCTGGAGAGACCCCCGCGTCTGGCAGAGCGATTAAAACTCTTCTTACTTTCACCTTTTTTAACATTTCCTGAATACTTTCTCCTCTTCTCGAGCCAGTTTGGGGGATCGAGTATGTCTCACTGCATTTTTTCTGCATCGACGTAGCTGACTTCCCTTCAAAGCTGGAGAAGGAGACATAATTTTCCTGGGATAAATCTGTCACTGGGGTGGAAGAATAGGTTTGAAAATGTTAAGCTTTCCAAAAGCCCAGCCGGGAAAGCCGCTGTAAACTGCGGCCCCAGCTCCCCAGATCCATCCAGGAAGGAGAGTGGGGGCTCTCTGTGGTGAGGTAGGGGCAGCCTGCCTGGTGGCCAAGCTCCCCCACTGGGCTGGCAGGGCCAGGCTACAGTCCCTTTGTCCCTCCAAACTGTCTGCATGCTGCCCTTCTCAGCTTCCTAGGAGAGGGAATGAATGTCTTGCTCCTCCTGGGTTTGTTCCACTGGAGCAAATGGTCTAGCATCCTTGGGTATTGAGGGGAGAAGAGGAGGGCTGAGCTGGCTGTGGAGGAACTTCCAACATCAGAGGTCTGATGCCCACTTCTCTCCTTAGAAGTATAGGAGGCTTCCCAGATTCTCTGGTCCCTGCCTGCTGCCGGGCCCCAAAAGCAGAGGCTAGGGTATGCAGCCAGGACAAGAAGAGTCTGGGGGAGAGCCACAAAGTTCCTGGTTACTTCCTTATGCCCTGGGAAGGAAGAGAGAGGTCTGCTCCATCCCTCTCTGTTCCATTTGGCCAGAATTCTCAGAGAGGATCTTCTTGCCCCTTCTCCAGTCAGTGTCCTTCTTGGCCCTTAAAAGCAGCTGCTCCTTGCTCTGGAAGGCAGACCAGGAGAGGGACGAGCGGACTGGCTGGGTCCAGGAGGAGGTGGGTGGGAGGGGAGATGACAGCTGCATTTCCCTGGCTGACTTGGAGCCTGACTGAGGACTTGGCCACTGAGTCCCAGTTCTGTGTTTATTGAAGAGGGGTGGTCACAGGCTGGGCAGTGGGGGCTGCCCTGCTCACCTTGGTGCCCATCTTCCACCCCCCCTGCCCCAAGCAGCTCATTTCAGGGACAGAGAATGTGCCACCTTATCAATACAGGTTGGGAGGCAGCCCTGGGAGTCTCAGAACTGTTTTCTCAAGGGAAAAGGCTGGGTCTACAGTAGAGAGGGCAGGAGACCAGCCCCTTCTGTCCCATCCCAGACAGCTAAGTCAGCCCTTACTGCCTTCTTGGGGACAGCCTCAAAAGGAGGAGTTATGCAGAGTGTAAGGGGCCGGGACTTCTGCGGCCCGTTGGCTATCTAAGGGGAGGGGAAGAGGTGGAGGAAGAAGGTACAAAATTCAGCAGCCTGTATCTCTGCTTTCCAGACTGAGAGGCAAGCACACCTGATATTCTCCCCTCCTCATCCACAGAAAGTGTTTGGTCCCTGGGGTGAGAAGTCCAGCTGTGATGGAGGTTGAAAGAAAAAAGACTATTCAGTTGATTTCTGAACACTGGAGCTGGGGACTGTGGTTCCTGGAAAGCAAGGGGAAGAGGCAGGATCCTCCGGGTGCTGGAGGTCCTGGGAAAGCTGTGGCTATGGGCCACGTGTGTTGGAAGAGCTGTCCTCATCCCTATTGCCTTCTCGGCAGAGCAGGGGTGGGGCCAAGGCTGTGAGAACCTGAAGTGCCAGACACAGGAGAGGGTGCTTTCACATTGGCATCAGGACTGACAGTCACCACTGTACCCCAGATGTTTGTAAGCCTATGTGAAGCATGTGCACAGAATATTTTGTGTTGAAATGATCCGCAGAAGAAATCTCTTGATTAGCAGAACTCTGTTCGTGAAGCCCTGACATAAAAGTTATTACTCTGTTCTTAAAAGAGGGTGTTTTCAGTTTGATGGCCGCAAACTGAAGAACCCAGTTTGTACACCATGATCTCATCCATTTCCCTCTGTAAACCCAGGTGAGGGGGGCCTGAGGTGCAGAAAAGGGACTTAACCTTTCCCAGGGTTGCGCAGCGCATTAGTAGCTAGCCTGGAGGCAGAGCCTGCCCTTAGAGCAGTTGGTGCTGGGATGTGACTAGTCTGTGGACCAGTTGGGGTGAGGATGTGGAACAGTGGGGGTCAAGGAGCTTCCATTAACTATCCTTGTACCTTCCCTGCCAGCAAAACTCATTGTGGAGACAGATACCTTTGGGAGCCGGGTTCGAGTCCGTGGAGCTGAGACAGGTCTCTACATTTGCATGAACAAGAAGGGGAAGCTAATTGCTAAGGTGAGGCCCCAGAAGGAAGGGGGGACCCTGGGGCCTAGGGGGTTTGGGCTGGGCTGGCTGAGCTCTTCTAGGGTCCCAGTAAGGTGGGCAGTGACTCCCAAGGCCACCTTGGAGTCCCCTAATGTTTGTGGGGGGAGGTGAGGGAGAAAGAAACTGCTTGAGAGATGAAAAGCTATAAAGGCAAAGGAGGAGGAAGGCAGGCTAGGGAAGGGGCTGGGTGTGGGGGGGTAGGTAAATTCCATATATCTTTTTAACAAATCGCCAAATTGCTTTGCTATTATGTCCAATTACATGGTACCAGCATTTGGAATGTTCAGTAAGCCGCAGGCCCAGCCCCTCGGCCGAGCTCTAAAATGGCCCCATTAGTCACGGCTCTTCTTCAGCCCTGAGCTCCCCGCTTCCTGGGCTTCTCCAGCTTGGGGCTCAGTGTCTCCTGGAGGGCCTCCCCTCCCCCATAAGGTGGCTGCCCTGGGGCCAGGTCTGGACTCCTGAGAGGCTGAGGTGGGCAGGTGGGGAAACGGGTGCTAGCAGCCTAGGCCAGACTGGTGGGCAGGAGGCCAAGGCAGGCAGGGTCCGGACCCCCCTCTCTGCCTTTCGGTGTTGGGGCCCAGCTCCTCCGTAGACAGCCATGTGTCACTGCTGCCGGGGAGCACAGGAAGTTGCCGGGTGGGCTGCTGGCTGTGAGGGATTAGAGAGCCGGTGCCTGGGCAGCGGGTGAGGCTGCAGCTTCTGCCCACCCTGCCATCTGCTGGGGTGCCCACCTGCTGTCCGAGGCCGCCTGTCCTCTGCTTCTGATGGGGGGGGCCCGGACAGAGCCCAGTAATGCCGCTTCTGGCCCCCCCTACCTGCAGAGCAACGGTAAGGGCAAGGATTGCGTCTTCACGGAGATCGTGCTGGAGAACAACTACACGGCCCTGCAGAACGCCAAGTACGAGGGCTGGTACATGGCCTTCACCCGCAAGGGCCGGCCCCGCAAGGGCTCGAAGACGCGGCAGCACCAGCGCGAGGTGCACTTCATGAAGCGGCTGCCGCGCGGCCACCACACCACCGAGCAGAGCCTGCGGTTCGAGTTCCTCAACTACCCGCCCTTCACGCGCAGCCTGCGCGGCAGCCAGAGGACTTGGGCCCCGGAGCCCCGATAGGCGCCCGCCGGCCCCTCCCCGCAGCTCCCAACCCGGAGACGCTCGTCCTGTGGGAGCTGGAGAGCAACTCAAGCGGATGAGGTCTGCGCTGCTGAAGGCTGGGCGCGGCTGGGCGCGGCTGGGGGGGCCTGAGTTCTAGTTGTCCATACTTGTTTGCTGTTGGTTTTTTTTTTTTTAAACAAAAGAGAGGCTCTATTTTTGTATTCCACTTGGCTGTGGTGTCTGTCTTCTTAACTCTCGGGAAGGCTAGTTAGTGGCCTGGAGGGGGATTCCCTGAGGGGGTTGGGAGGGGGCTGCTTTTTCAAGTACAGCAGAGGGATCCTAAGACCCCAGTACCTGCAGGGCAGGCTCCCAGGCAGCCAGGGACTCCGCTGCACCCCCAGGTGGGGACAGGGAGGAAAGGGTCTAGTCTTGGATGAGGTCTTTTAAGGTGGGTGTCTATGGAGGGTGGCTGTGTATTAGTTGCTATTAAATGAATGAAATATTTAACTTCCGTATTAAAAATGAGTGTTGGAGAGTAAGTCCTGCTGGGATCAGCGCCCTCCCTTTGCTCTGCCCCAACTGGCAGGTGGCTGGGAGATGCAGCACATCAGGCACCAGCTCTGACTGTAGCCTCCCCTGAGCCTGAGTAAGACCTTGTGCCTGTCATTGTCACTGGAGGGATTTTCCTGGTAAGAAGCAGGGAAGGGGGCAAGAGCAGGTTCTTAGCTGGCCCTGGGAGCTCTCAGACATGGACCTTCTACCTCTTAACAGGAGTCTTTGCCAACACTTCCCCAGGCCACCTCTGGGACAGAAATGATGGCTCTGCTAGGACCAGAGCTGCACTCATGGATTCAGTGAGTCTTTAAAAAAGTGTCTCTGTGTGTGCCTGGATCTGTGTGGGAGACAGGTAGGAGATGCCAGAGTCAGTTCTTACTGAGTGTCAGGCTCAGAAAAATGAAAGAAAAGGGCACTTGCCAAGGTCCAAGGTGGGGACATGTTGGAGAGGAGGATGCCTTGGCATGTCACCAAGGATGGTGTTGACAGTTGTGACACAGAATGTCAACTTTGGGAGATCAGGATAGAAAGCCATGAGAAGAAGGTGCGGAACTCGGGTGCTGCAGAAGGGCCCAAGGGAGTCATCCAGGGAAAGGATGCACCCACCTTGGAGAGATGGGGCCTAGAGAGAGAGGAGCTGGGCATGGGGTGGGAAGAGAAGCTCACAGGCCAAGCACAGAACTCAAACTCTGGCCTGAAGGAGAAGCAGCAGTAATAGGGCAATAGGTTAGAAGAACTAGCCCACGAAGGATGACTGCTATGGTGACGGTAGAGCAGGTCACGGTGGGGCAAAGGGGTGTGGGTTTGGATGTGGAGTGTTGAGAGTAGCATCACCCCGCACTGAAGAAGAGCCTGAGCTGGGAGGCAGGAGACCCCTTGAGGGCGGAACTGGCTCAGTCTTCGTAATTGTCACCTTGGATTCTTTCCACTTCTACTGCCTTCTTTGGGGATGCCCCTGGGCTGGTCCCACCATCCAGCCACTGGGCCAATCCAGAATCCCCTTCCCTGTGGACCTCTGTTCTTTGGGACCGTCTTTGGTTGGAGGGAACCCCAAGGCTTCCTAACCATGTGAGCCTCCCAGAGTTGCAGGCTCAAGCCATCCAGGTGGATTAGGAATTCCAGGGGTTAGTGGGAAGCCTTGGGTTGGAGAGGTTGGGGATACCCTGGGGTCTGTCCACACACCTCTTCTGGCCTGCTCTGGGGACAGACGAGGCTTCTCCTGGAGCATAGACACTGGGGTTGTGGGGAGGGGTCTCTAGACATCTCTCTTCCAGCTTCCCCAGCTCTTAATGCCTTCTCCTCTGCTCCATTCCCTCCCCTCCCCCTTTAATTAATTCTGGTGAGCAGCCTGGCTTTATTGTGCAAGGAGCTGGGGTCTCACTGTGGGAAAAGTCACACCTTCTGAGCAGCTTCTGATGCCATGCAAATGAAGAGACCGTCCAGGAAACGCTTTCATCTGCACGGCCGCCGCCTGTCCAGCCCCCAACCCAGTAATTACCCACATTTCATTTGTTTGAGAGCAATTCCTGAGGGTAGGAGGGAGTCTGGGGGGGTGGAATGTCAGGCTGTCCGCCCTGTGATCCTGGCCACAAAGTAGGGCCAAGCTGGGCCAAGGCTGGTCACTGGCTAGCCCAAAGCTACTTCTGAAGCCCCCAGGCCAGGGATGCCCTGGTTGTACTGTGCCATAGTTGTGACAAGGGAGAAGAGATCGGCTGTCCAGAGAGCCAGACCTGCCTTATAGGGAGGAGAGATGACTGATGGGTAGGGGAAGCAGAGGTGGAGATATGCTCCTTGAGGCTGCTCGAGGCTTTGGGAAGGGGGTTGACTTCCTATAGGACCCAAGGCCAGGACTCATGGGAGCAGAGTCCAGAGCAGTGGGGCTAGGGTGGGCTGGAGCACCCATCACCTTGTTTATCTTTGTGTCACTGCCTTCACAGAGCCCTAGCTAATGGGGTTTTACAGCCCACTCAAGCTGCAACTGGCCAAGAATCAATCATTACCGGCACTTAGTGGTTTGATAGTTAACAGCCTGAACTGAAGCCAAACTGGTTGTTAACTGTGATAACAACTGATTTCAAGGGGTTATTGCCGGCCCAATATGCTCAGCCCATTTATTTCAGGGAAAACAAGCAGGGAGCTGTTGCAAGGCCCAGAAAAGGGAGGAGGACTGGGCTTCCTTAGCCAAAAGGTCTGCCACTCTGTCTCAGAGTGGGTGCTAGCCGTGAGGGCCCTTGGGGATGGCTGAGGCCTGCAGGGACCCTTGACTTCCCAGAGCTCGCCGAGGACCTGTGTGTGGGTCCAGGTGAGACTCACACAGAAAGCCCTCTCCCAGTCTCCCTTCTCCTCAGTCTCTACTCCTGCTGCCTCTCTCCTTCCTCTGCTTATAGCAGCACTTCTGGCAAGGTCCTCAGAGGAACCAGCTCCCCATGAACAGGAGCCCCGACCCAGTGCCCAGGCCTCCACTTGTCCCTACCCAGCAGGTGGGCCAGACCCCTTTACCCATTCCTCCCTCACCTGGGAGCCCACAGCCCTGCTAAGGCCAAGCCAGAACCTGGCCTTTCATTTCAAAGCCAGCAGACCCCACCTAAGCCTTGAGGAGAATGAGTGAGAATGCTCTCCTCTTACTCCACCAGGTCCTGCCCATACCTACCATCCACCCTCACTGGGTGGCTCTGACCACACATTGTTCGGGAATGCTGCTGCAGCACAGGACCAAGCAGTTCTCTGTCATCTACAGACCCACAGCGTGAGGCCTGGGAGTCCCACAGTCAGTGCCAGAGCTAGTGCTGGGAATCAGGTCTTACTTCCCAGACCCAGGCTGCCTCTTGAGGGCTGTAGGTCTTTCCCTAATTTCATTCACTCATTCGATTTATTGAGTGCCTATTATGGAATAGGCTCTGTTATGGGTAGAGGAGACAAAGCAGGAAATGAGACAAGAACCCTGCCATTATGGAGCTCATATTCTAGTCGGGGGACAGGGTAGATAGGATATTAGACACGGACAACCACTAGAGAGAAAAATGCAGAGATGGGGATGAGCATGAAAGGTAGTGTAGTAGCAACTTTAAATAGGGTGGTCACAGGAGGCCTCACCGAAAACTTAATGTTTGAGTAGACACCTGACTGAGGTGAAACATTCAGACACCTGGGGGAAGAGCCACTCAAGGAGAGAGAACAGAGGGTGCAAAGCTTTTTGCATCAGAGGAAGAGGAAGGTGGCCAGTGAGGCTGGAGCAAAGTGAAGGGAGGATATAGGGGTGTGTGGCAGTGGGTGTGTGGTACGGGAGGGGTAGAGAATGCTGGAAGCTGAGATGAGGCTAGAGAGAGAGAAGAGGTGGTGGTGGCAGGCAGATCATGCAGGGTCACTGAAAAGATTTTAGTTTTGACCTTGAATGAGACAGCCGACCATTGGATATTGAGCAGTAGAGTGACATGATCTGCAGGAAGGTTGAACAAGATTGCTTTGGCTGCTCTGTGAAAAATAGATAGTAGTGGGACATGTGAGACCACTTAAGAAGTTACTGTAGTAACCTAGGCAAGAGATAATAGTGTTTTGAAGGTGGTGAGAAGAGACTGGAATTTTGGACTTTTTTCTTGCAAGTAGGGATGACAGGATTTGCTGATGAATTTGGATGTGGGCTGTAAGAGAAGGAGAGGAGTTGAGAGGTTTTCAGGGTTTCCAGCCTATGCAACTGAAGGGATAGAGGGAACATTTACTGAGAGGGAGAAGATTCCAGGAGGGGCAGATTTGGATGGGAAGAGTAGGAGTTTAGTTTTGGACATGTTAACTCTGAGCTGACTAAATAAATATTCAAGTGAAGATGTTGAGTAGCATTTATGTATGAGTCTGGAATTCAGGGGAGAGGACTTGTGTGAAGATATAACTTGGGGAGTATTCAGCACTGATGATTTTTAAAGCCCAGGAGATGGAATAGATTTATTAGGGAGTGAACATGGAGAAGCGAAGAGCTCTCAGCCTGAGCTTGGTAGACTCCAAACATCTAGAAGTCAGGGTCAAGGGGGGAGCAGCAAAGAAGATTAAGGAAGCATGGCCCCTGAGGTAGGTGGGAAGAAAACCAGGGAAATGTGGTATCTTGATGATCTAGGAAAAAGACAACAATTTCAGAGCGTGACGCTTAAGGTGGGGTTTGGAAATAGTTTTACTCAACTGTCTTCCTTCCTTCCTACCCGCCACCAACCCAGGATCAAGAGAAAGTAGCCAATAAACAGGGTGGTTTTACTTGACTCTTCTTTCAGCTTTCCCCTGCCTCCCTTCCTGCTGCCTTTACCTCAGATCCAACCCTTCTGCTCATCTGCTTCTCTACGGCCACCACCCTGCTCTAAGCTGTCATCAGCTCTTGTCTTATGGCCACAAGCCCCTAACTGTTCTTCCTGGCTACTCTCTTATCCTCGTACGATCATTTCTGTACTCAGTAGCCAGAATTTCCAAAACACAAATCTGAT